CCATGTAGTGTATGACAGCAGCATCACCATGTAGTGTATCATAGCATCATCACCATATAGTGTGTGACAGCATCATCACCATGTAGTGTATGACATCATCATCACCATGTAGTGTATGACATCATCACCATGTAGTGTATGACATCATCATCACCATGTAGTGTATGACAGCAGCATCACCATGTAGTGTATCATAGCATCATCACCATATAGTGTGTGACAGCATCATCACCATGTAGTGTATGACATCATCATCACCATGTAGTGTATGACATCATCATCACCATGTAGTGTATGACATCATCACCATGTAGTGTATGACAGCATCATCACCATGTAGTGTGTGACAGCATCATCACCATGTAGTGTATGACATCATCATCACCATGTAGTGTATGACATCATCATCACCATGTAGTGTATGACAACATCATCACCATGTAGTGTGACAGCATCATCACCATGTAGTGTATGACATCATCATCACCATGTAGTGTATGACATCATCATCACCATGTAGTGTGTGACAGCATCATCACCATGTAGTGTATGACATCATCACCATGTAGTGTGTGACAGCAGCATCACCATGTAGTGTATGACATCATCACCATGTAGTGTATGACAGCAGCATCACCATGTAGTGTATGACAGCAGCATCACCATGTAGTGTATGACAGCATCATCACCATGTAGTGTGTGACAGCAGCATCACCATGTAGTGTGTGACAGCATCATCACCATGTAGTGTATGACATCATCATCACCATGTAGTGTATGACATCATCATCACCATGTAGTGTATGACATCATCATCACCATGTAGTATATGACATCATCATCACCATGTAGTATATGACATCATCATCACCATGTAGTGTATGACATCATCATCATCACCATGTAGTGTATGACAGCAGCATCACCATGTAGTGTATGACATCATCATCACCATGTAGTGTATGACATCATCATCACCATGTAGTGTATGACATCATCACCATGTAGTGTATGACATCATCACCATGTAGTGTATGACATCATCATCACCATGTAGTGTATGACATCATCATCACCATGTAGTATATGACATCATCATCACCATGTAGTGTATGACAGCAGCATGAAGGATGGGCGCCCGGTTTGGCTTGGCCGTTGTTTTTGCGCTCACTGTGCCCGGGCTGCTTGAATCCGTGCTGATTGGGAACACCGTGGCGCCGGATTGTGTTGGAGCGATGGCGAATTCACGAGCAGGCAACATGCGGGCTAGCTGGCCCTGCTGTGGGGTAATTACATAGCTAAGAGTCCACTGGGGGACACTTTCAATGTGCCGGATCCAGCAAGGCACACACCTGTGGATTCACACAGCTCTTACCATCATTACCACGGACGACAACGACTCATCCCGGACACGCTGCACATTCAAACAATCGTCTTCACTATAACCTGCTATATGGCGAGATGTTAACTACCTCGCTTGGTGTACAGGAGGTCGTGGGATCGATTCAAACCTTGACGCCTGCTGTATATTTAGAGTTTGCGTGTCTCTTTCCACATTTTGGAACATGCTTTGAGAGTATTTCGCTGCTACTCTTCGTTGAGCCATCATTTGTGGCCAGGTCCCTTCTGAGACAACTGCTCTAGCTCAGTGGGGCTTTACCTAGTGGTCAAAGCTATGAGCTGGGCCCCCCTTGACAAGCACCATGAGACATGTTTTCAACTCCAGCGTTAAAGAAACGAACGCTTATGTAATTATAGTGCGTGATTAGGCGAGACGAGCCGCGATACAAAATAGCCGAGGTGCGACCGTGCGAGACAAATCAAATATTCGGGTCCCACCTGGTAATGTCGTTTCTGCGTCACTCTTCAAGATGCAACTCGCCTCCAGTTGCTTGCACTGCATAGAACTCGCAATGCCAAATGACGCGAATCCCCAAAGGCTCCAGTAGATGGAGGTGGCGTTCTACTCGCTGCGTTCCGTGAGCTTATGCCCCGAACGGCTGAGATGTTCCACTTTAAGCAGAGCCATCAATCACCTCGGAGGTGATTGACGCACTTCTTTCGCGCCGCATGTAGACAAACGATTGCACCTCCGATCAGATGCCAATGTCTGCCAGCCACGAGATGGCTTCAGGAGAGTGTTCCTGCAGTTGTCCAGTTCCTCCTCCTCCGTGGAAGGAATGTCCACTGCAGTGGGTTTATTATCGCGTCCAAAGTCTTTGGTTGCATGGCCACGATCGCGTTCCTTTGGCTTGTTTTCTTGAATTTTACATTCATGAAGGAGGAGTGCGCATATGGATGTCGATGTGGTGATGCATGTAGATGGTTGCACCAGCGTCGTCGAGAAATGTCAAAAGCCACATGGTGCGATCACTGTCCAAATACGGATCATCTATTTTTCAGCGTACGCCCGGATGAATAAAAAGGCCTTGAGTTCACATTTGAATAATATGTTGGAATTGATTTGTCGGACACGGAGTAGGAGGGTACTCCAGGCTGCAGGGACTGTGCATGAGAAAGCTCGTCCACGAATGGTTTAAAGCAAAGGTTATTCACCTTTACTGCAGGATTGCACCCCTTCGCTTCTCAATCGTAAAACTAATTATGTTAATAAATACATCGGGTTTGATTGGACAAAGTGGTTGTTCTTACGTGCCCGTGCTTAGTTTGTTTCGATGATTTACCTTCTAAAAAAAGGGCATCTCGCACCCGTAAAAAAAAAATGCGTGCACCCCATGTTAAGAATCGCCGATTTAAAGTCTTAAAAGTCCGACCTAGAATATCCCTCCTCTTCGTCTCGGAAGCAAAGAGTCTGTGAGTATATTAATTATAATTAATATATTCTATTAATCTTCTCAAGAGCATTCCGTAAAATCCACCGCGAATTTAAGTTTCATTCGCACGAGTCTTACGGTTCCATCCGTCTCACTCAAGGACGACTGTTTCATAATTTCGAATCAAACCTAGTTTTATGTGTTCTCTTGCTCCCGTCGGGGGCTGTAACGGCTCAATCATTAATGCGTCTTGTTTTATATGTACGTGCATGTTGAACTTCTTTCACATATTTTTTATTCTTTCGGTAAAGTCACGTAGAAGGGAAACAATAAAATAATAAATATATAAAACAATAAAATTATCACGACGTTTCGACTGCAACACAAGCAATCATCATCAGGTGTGAAAACCACAGCAAGAAATTTGAAAAAAGTGGCAGTTTTTTTAACGTTAGCACCACGGAGAGCGATTTGGCAGTTATTCAGATGGACGAGTCCATCTATGTTCGAAAAAGAGGGGGGAGACGAAAATAATGGATGCGGTCTGAAAGCCACCGTAAGCGTGCACAATCAATTAAGACCCTAAATGGTTTATTAAATCCTTCCAATGATTGCTAAGCCAGAATCCATCTTCGTACATACCCAACCGTGCTAATTGGAGGTGCGGGGGAAGGACAACTAAACTCAAAACAACGTTCTCAAGAAATGCGTTTCAAAACAAGATTGGAAAGTGCATAGCTCCAGTGGCTTCCTAATATCTGGAGGTGCGTTCCAGACGGCCGCAGAAGAGCATCCGAAAGCACTGCGCGATGCGGTGATGGTCTTTGTTCGATGGCCAGTCAAAAGCCTTTGAGGAATTTCTCACTTTTCCCAAAGCATTTTTATTCTGTGTATTCTCGCCCTTTTGTTTAAACTTCTCCGTCTGTTTGTAACCACAAGTCATGGACGGTAAAGTGGAAATCTCGCAAACCGACTGATAATACTAGTTTTAATTACCAGCGAAAGGGCACAGTACTCAAATTGTAAATGTAGTGGGTTTACTCTCCAATCCACCGGTGTGCTGTAGTATTGTAGCAACTTATTGGCACGTTTGGTTTACGTGACAAAACGTTGCTAATTAGCTGTCGGGTGGAGGATTCAATGACACATTTATATGTAAGCGCTCTAACCCACACAAAAAGAAAACCTTTATTATAGATTTTGGGGGGAAAGGTTTGAAAGAAAACAAGATATTTCTTTAACCACGAGGCATATTCACCTACTTATTGTGGTGCTCTATGCTACATCTACAAACATTTTATATCCCGATTAAATTATTTGTAATATTTAAATGCTGCACTGTGTGGTCGACAAAACATTAAACTTTACGTTTGCGTCCCATTCAATCGTGACATTTTTATTGTACAAATACATTCCCCGTAGACGGCATCAACTTCCAATTAAAACAATGCAAAGTGCATTTCCGTCCCAATCAGTACTTGATCCAGTGATTGAAATTCAACGTTCCTATGGACGTGGCAAATTAATCCAAATAACTGCCGGACAACAGCAAACGAGCACTTGTGAAATTCTATCAGATGTAATTTCATCCCTCGTGGCAAAATATGGATATCAGTCCGGTTAAGATTTTTTTTTTACAGAGGGCGGCATAGTCTAAATTATTAATGGTGTGGCGTGAACCAAGATCCTGGGTTAGAATCATGCCAGCCACCCAAGATGAACGCACATTGTTTTAAGTGCAACGCGTTCACGGTCTTAGTCTGGTGACTTCACAAAATCATCATTCAATTGCGCTCTTAATGCAGCACTCGGGTTCTGAGAACTAAGAAAATTGGGTTTGCCAAATGCCACGATCGAGGCCTAATGGAAGACGGTCAACATCTTCTGTACGGACGATGGTTTCCTGCTGCTGCTCAACGTTGAATTCTGAATTTTAAATATTGTTTCTCTCAAAAAGGCACTTGGAGAGCATAAAGTGCGTAAAATGTTTTCAAAGTAATAAAATACCTTCCTCTTCAGATGCGTATCATGCAATACCTCCCCTTAAAACGATTAATGTCTTTGCTTTTTACTAATTTGGCAGTTAAAGAGCAGTATATTATGATGATGATGCTGGACATGCGATTGGTGTGCATTACTCCACTCGGGTGGGGAGGGGGGGACTCAATTACAAGTAAATCGATTCAGCGAAGTCACGCAAAACTCAAAACACACGGCACTTAAATATTGACATGAGATTCAAGTACTTTATTAAAACTTATTTTCAACATGATTTCAGTCTGTGTTGTTTACTACAAGTTCACAAAAAGCCTTGTAATAAGCAAAAAAGACGACAAAAAACAGGGCCTTAGGATATACGTTGAGCTTACAAATCCTGAAGACTGTTAACAGCGCGTATTTGCAAAATTTGGCAGCCGAGCATGCAAACACCACATTCGGCTAAAAATGAAACAAAACAAAAAAAAAGTGCCACGCCAAAACTTTGCTGCCACTCACTGAGCCGAGCCACAGTGGGGGTGGTTGCCACTCGACCTCCTCATGCACCGGTTGACACCCACCAACCATCGATGCTGCCCGTGCCTCCCGGCATGCAGCGACGGGGCCAACCCCCCCTTCTTCCTCCTCCGCCGGCGGCTAATAAAGGAGGGAGCAGCAGCACAGCCATAACCACCACAGAACCATCACTGACAAGTGTGCAATCCTTGGGCCGGGGAGGAGTCGATGACGAGCCAATGAGGATGAGAGACAACGGGAAGGGGAAAAAAAATGGTTCTCGGGCATATTTTTGTTTTGTAACTTGGAATAACAATAGTTTATTTTCTTCGGATGTGGGGTAGGAGGTGGGGGGAGGCAGGAGGGGAGATAAGAGGCTGTGAAATTTAAATCTAAATCCATGTATGCATGAAATATGCTCACGTTGATAGGTGCTGAAAAACATTAAGTCAACCATATAACTATACCAAAAAAATAGGTGGCGATAATAATGCTGATGTGTTTATATTAATTGGATAAAATACTCGAGTTCATAACGAGCAGCAGCATTTTGCCAACGAAACCGAGCATTTTCCTGTTTCCGATGGTCAAGTTGTGCATTTGCTATTTTTTTTTCCAAGGAACATCTATAACAATTGCGAATTTACAAATTGTCCGTGCACGCAAATGTCAACTCCGTTGTCCTTCCAATTTCCACACCAGCGGACAGCAGCCGCAGAAGCCGTGTCCGAAACTCGGAAAACAAACCCCCCGCAACTTTAACTATTCAGTGAAGAGCAGACCATGGCTATTTCATCACGTTCGCCACAGCAACGTTAATGGGCAACAGTCGAAACGTGTTTTAAGGCCTTGCAACAACCTTGGCGCTAAGGTAAAATAATCCTTATGTGCCTAGTGGTTATACACCAGGTGTGCAACTCACGGAGGTTGTAGGTTGAGTGGTGAGTGTAGAATGGTTCGAGGCTTCCAACGCTCAGGTTAAAGGAATTTGGCGTTTTTAAAGGCTAACCCCCCCCCCACCCCCTCCAAGCTGCTCAACAACAATGTGTCGCCAACATAGGATTCACGAAAGCCATCTTTTTTTGCAAACGTACGGTAATTTATTCCAAAGACCCCCCACTGGTCATTAAAAGGACACGATTTTTTTTCTAAAATAAACTCTCAAAAAATGTATTCCACTAAGACAAGTCGAAATAGCAGTGTTTTAAAATTCATAGAATTTTAGGCCATATATGCATTCTTGGGAGCATTATCAGCCATTTTAACTTTCTAATTGTCCTGAAAGGTAAAAGGCTCAGCCCTACCATTCCGTGCTCACACCACTGCTGGTGAAAGGGCCTCTCTCTGCAACAGGGCACTGCAGCAGGGGGGTATATTGATCTACTCTTCCACACTGGCCCGGAAATCTTGCAATAATTTATCTATGGGACCCTTTTTGCTGGTATCAAGATAAAAAAAAGGTAGAGGCTTTACCCTTTCCAGCAATACTATCGGGTCTTATGATATCGCATAGATATAACTGCTCAACCTGAGCTATTGATAACGCTTTGATGAGTTGCATTGTCTTTGTGCTGGTCACGTTTTGCTGTTCTATCGTCAAACACCGGCGAGACAAGGCCAATAAAGGAGGCTGTCTCTGGTGTAGGCTGATCAGTTTCAAGGACAATGCATACATTATCATCAAAACAAGCATTCACTACGCATACGTGGTAAATGCAGACTTGAAGCCTTGCAATAGGTGTATATTTGGTGTTTGAACATCTAAACACCTCCTGTATTATTCCTGCAAAGGGGAAAGCCTATTTGTGTTCATCTTGTAAAGAAGTTCAAGTATCCATACTTGACCACATCACGCATGACATGCCAATCAACTGCGGTGTACCCAGATATCTCATTGTATATTTATACAGCGCCTTCACTCGAGGTGCTTGACACAGCATAGACAACTGTGGTGGAATATCATGATTTACATGGCAGGAGGGTGCTGCAAGGATTGAGAAATGAGTGACAGAGGGCTACTTAGGGATCACGAAAGGGTAGGGGAGGGACGGGAAGGAGTGGAGGGGGCAAGGAGAGGGAAGGAGGGGGACTGCTTAATGTACAATGGAAGTTGATGCCAGTGGAGGCGTGCAAGGGAAAAGGACTGAGGAGGAACAGAGAGAAGATTGGGAATTGAGAGGACAGGGGATGAGAGAGGAGAGATGATCAGGTGGGTGGCAAGGCCATGGAGAGATTTAAAGACTCACAGCTTCAGCTATTTGAAAAGACTGCAGTGCATTGAACAGGAAGCCCATGGAGTTGAAGTAGGAGGCAAAGTGGTGAGAATTAAATGGGAGATTGAAAATAACCCAGGAGGAAGAATTTGTTTTATTTGTTGGGAGAGTAGTGACGGCAGAGGCAGGGTGACCAAGAAGAACAGAATTCCAGATGGGTAAAGAGCAGAGCATGAACCAGGAGGTCTGCGGCAAAATATGAATATCCTGATGATTGAGATAAACTGAGATTGAGATTAGTTGCTGGGTAGCCAGAGGGAAGGGGAAGATTTAATGAACTTGCTAATTCTCAACCGCCATGCCCGGAGATCGAACCGGCGACCTCTGGATTGCAGGGTCCAGTGTGTGCTGACCATTAACACCCCTGCGGCAGAGTCCCTGCTCGTCCTCACTAAAAGCTTCATCTGCTGATGTTCCCAAGACAAAATAACGTAATTAATTCTGTCACATCGTCTCCACGTTTTAGCTTGTTTAAATTCAATGTCTGCGTAACACAACTTCCATCATCCTCTTCTTCGCTGGGCAGCATATATGGCCTAACAAAGCCTTTAAATGCCTTCTGACGCATGCTTCATTTCAAAATGGATTAAACCTTCAAAGAATATCTTTTTTTCACTGAATAGTACACATCACAAAAAACGCCATCCAAACGTTGTTTTCTTTGTTAACAAAACGAAATGTTTTCATAGGTGCATAAGTTCAACCCGAGTTGTGACGGTTGAGTAGCTATTAAACAGATATTCTATATTTTACGCAATGATAGCATTAATGTTGCCAAACAGAATGGGAAAAAAAATACATGTAGTCTTTTGATACCGCTCATAAGACCATATTCTCTAAGGTCACTTCTATCCATGTTAAGTCCACTTAGTAACATGGAGATTAATCATTTGTTTAGATTATAACAGCCTGTTTTTGAGTGCTTAGAATTTTTCCTTTAGAGAACTAGCTGAGCTTGTGCAATTAGAACACTAACCAAATATCCTTCCCCAAACAGTCCAATTTTCCAGATGCATTTGCCCAATAAACTTTATTTTACACTCTGTTTACACATATACTCACAAGTATACGGTTCCAGTCCAGTTAGTATTTTTTTTTTGCCGTCGTTTTTTTTTTTTCCTCTCGAATCTTAAGAATTAAACGGGAAGGGTGTGCAAGACTTGGATCCAAGCGCTCTGTGGCCGTTGCCATCGTAGTCGGAGGATGACGAGGAGGTGGACGAGGAGGAGGAGGAAGGAAGGAAGGGGGCAGCGTCGTCACCCTCCCCCCCCCCAACCCAAGGCCTCCTCATATGAGGCGGCTGCGTTTGTGCGTCGGCGAGTCCGTGATCACGTCGGGGCACTGCGACGTGGCCGAGCGCTTGCGCGCGCTGGCCGCCATCGCTGCCGCCGTGGTCGTGGTGGTGGTGCCCCCCTCCAGGTGCAAGGCCATCTCCTCCGAGATGAACGTGTTGAGGTCCATGTCGTGCAGGCTGGAGCGGCGACGCGACGGGCCCGAGCCGCCGGCCGCGTGCGTGGGCGAGCCCGGGTTGCCCGAGCGCATGCTGATGCTCGCCATCGCTCCGCTCAGGCCTGTGCTCGCCAAAACGCGCGCGGAAACGAGGTCGCGCACACGCTCCCCACACGGGGGCGCAAGCACGCACGCACGCGCATCCGGGGTGAGAGTTACTATTTAAATACTACTATCGTTTGTTTTGCCACGTAAGGATCACACCGAGCTAGGTAGCTCTTTTCAGAAGTGACCTGGCCATCGAATAATGTTAGCTCAACGAAGCGGTTTATCATCACGTGGAAATGTATAGCAACCAAATACTATAAAATGCATGTTTTTAAAGTGTGGAGGGAAACACCGGAAGACCCAGAGAAAAAGCCACCTGACCACGGGGAGAACATGCATACTTCAAATATACAGGCATCAGGGTCGGGGGATCAAACCCACAACCTCCTGCATACCAGGCGGGGTAGTTAATCAACATCTCACATTCTGGGAATCTCTAGCTTTCTCCATAGCCAGCACACGACCTGTTCTTACACTTTTTTGTGACATGGATAGACTGGTACTTGCCATAGGAATGTGGAGTAAACATAACTTGCTTAGGACCACTGATGGAGATGGTCAATGCCCAATGCTTGTTTAAGCAAGTTAGACTTTTAGCGCATTTAGTATCTACATTGAACTGTATTATGTAGTACCGTTCGTAGCCAACCGTGCTAATCAGAGGCACAGGAGAAGGGCAAACGAAACACAAAGAGCAGTTCTAAAGAAATTAATTCTTAATTTAGATTTAAAGTGCATAGCTCCAGTGGCTTCCTAATATTGGAGGAGCGTTACAGATGGCCGCGGAAGCGCATCTGAAAGCGCGCGATGCGGTGACCGTCTTTGTTCGATGACTAGCCAAAAGCCACTGCTGCGGGGATGACCAGAGTTGGCACGACGGTTTATGCTTCTTGACGAGATCAGCGAGGTATTATTGTTCATTTGTGGCAAGCACTTTATGTGCAATGAGTGCGACCTGATATGGTTTCCTCCCATGCCCACACAGCGTGCTCTACAACGGGGAAACTCGGAACACTTTACACGTGGATTAGCGGCTTGCATCTAAGCCGGACCCAGAAAGTAATCAAAGTAGAAGACAGGAAAAAGGATGCACATAAAAGAAGACCTGATGTAGGCAGTGATGAAAAGGAAACTGGCACTGTCTGGACACACATGTAAGGATGGACAAGAGGAAAAGTAAAAGCGTGTTGTTCGGGAAAGAATGGACGGAACCCGAGAGGAAGACTAACAGAGAATGGCTTGACGACGACAGAAGATACTCGTTCAAAAAAGATGTGGAAACAAATGCCGAAATGTGCAGTGGTCACCTACGGGTGATCTGCCCATGGATCGTGGTGATGATGATGGAAGCGACTTGCATGAAATCTCTCAAACAATGGTTCTTTGTTTATTTTACCAGGTAAGGCTGACTGAGCAATGCAGCTCTTTTTCAGAAGCAACCTGGCCACAAATGACAGCTCAACGAAGTGGCTTATCAAGTGGAAATTTATAGCAGGAAAATACTCTAAAACGCACGTTTCGAAGTGTGGAGGGAAAAACCGGAGGAATAGGAGAAAAATCCAAGCGACCAGGCGGAGAACATGCAAACTCCAAATATACAGGCATCAGAGTCGGGATCGAACCCACAGCTTCCTACGTACCGGGCGAGGTAGTTCACATCTCACCACCATGGAGCCTCAAGTTCACAACAAGCTTTCTCCATAGCTGGCACAAGACCTGGGTTGTTCTTACATTTTTTTGTGACTTTACCAAAAGACTCAAAGAATATGAATTCCTGCAGTCACTAAAGCTTTAAGTCAAGTACATTGTGGTTGTTGGATGGGTAAAACTGGTACTTGCTATGGGAATGTGGAGTAACCACAACTTTTTTGGGACCGCTAATGGGGATTGGAACTGCCTAATGCAGCTCCAATCTGTACATAGTAGTATGTAGCAGTAATAACACTGTAGTGCGCGATAACTATAATCAGACTTTTCATCGCCCGCTTCAGTCAATGGTAAACATTCTGTGACAAAGTTTGCAAGAGCAGGCCAATGTGTGTGCTGGGATAAAAGTAAAAATTTACCAAATTATTCAGTTAGGATTATACACGTAGCCATCACCCCCCCCCACCCCCCTACTGGAGCAATGCACTTTCAAATCATCCAGATTGAAAATACATTTCTGTAGAACTGCTTGTGTTTAGTCTGTTGTCCTTCCCCCACACCTCCGATAAGCACGGTTGACTACGTACGGTGCGAAAGGTTCAACATACGTATGTACATACTGGCAGACTAATGCCCCAAGTCACTCTTGCAAATGAGACTAATGCCGTTCTCTTGACTTCTCACCTGCTTAAACAAAATAACCTTCACATTTTATATATGGCCACAATGCTCTCATGTTGTACAGATTCAATTTCACTCTGTAAACCAATGCCGACTAGTGTCTTTATTTAGATTGCAGAATCCGATGAGCTATGAAGCTCTTTCTCACAAATATCCAGTATGGGTGGGTCAGCAGGACGGTATTTTCAGCGTGGAGATGAGGCCGCATGGCTAATCGTCTCAGAGTGTCAAACACGTATGCCAACTTTGCATCTTGTTCTCATGCGTCTTTGCGCCCTCTGCTGGACTTACCATGTCCTGTATGTCAAACTAAACTATATTAGGGGATCTATTTTTGCCACCATCAACGTATGAAAAATAACCACACAAACTGCCAACATAAACAACTCTGGTAATATATAGGCATTGCGGAGCATATATGCATTACCACAGCATGTTCACCACAAGTATGTCTGGTTAATGCAAACTTGATTCCCTGCAAAAGGTTTCCATTTAGTGTTTGAACATCTGAACGTCTGTTTTATTGACAGAAAGGCTAAAACATATTCTTATTCTTTCAACTCAAACTATTTTTTATTTCACCAAGTAAGGCCCACTGAGCTGTATAGCTCTTTGTCAGAAGCAACATGGCCACAATGATAGCTAAACAAAGTGGCTTATCACGCGGAAAATGATAGTAGCAGTCGAATACTGGAAACGCACATTTTTCTACATGTGGAAGGTAAAAGCAGAGGACCCTGAGAAAAATCGACGCGACCAGGGGGAGAACATACAAACTCCAAATATACAGAAGGCATCAGGGTCAGGAACAAACCCACGACCTCCTGTATACCTGGCGAGGTAGTTCACATCTCACCACCGTGGTGTATGAGGAGTGGGGATGCCTGCAATTGCCACAAAGGGTCGCTGTTGTATTTGTGGGGGTGTGCCAATGACACCCTTGGAATGTCCAGGCAGTGCCCACTTTACCAGCATTGCCTTGGACACCAGTGGGAATTTTTGAATCGGACCTGAATTGCTTTTTTTTTACTTTACAGGGGGAACTCGGCAACAACGCCTTCTAGTTTGGCAGTGTAGTTGTCGTTGCTAGTTCCTGTTTACAACTGCTGCTTGTCCTTCCTCTTGGCAAGTGTGTGAACAGGTCCCTACATCTGAACACTCAGGTCTGCTGCTCTACAATACAGTAGTCCCTCGGTTGACATTGTTAATCCATTCCATGAACACTCCTGTTAATCAAAATAAGTGTTAATCGAATTCACGAAGAGTTTAAAATAAGAAAAAAATATCACCGAGTCTGCAAGAGAGCTATTTCCACGGCCAAAACAGAAATCAGTGTAAACAAAGCCAGTCGAGGTCTAAATGCTCATAAATGGGTGTTCGCTGATTGGCTGAGGGCATGGCTCAGTCCCACTTACGGCTAAAATTCGCGCCTGCGTGCATAACGTTAACATGACCGTGAATCAACATTTTTACATTACTCGAAACCATGGGGATCCTATGGAAGGTGAAACGTTAAAACGCAAAAACCGTTAAGCGAGGGACTACTGTATATGCCAGCCTGACCAGAATGACCCAAGCCCTCCGCTGGTGTTTTTGTGTGCCCAACCCTACAGCTCAGTTGTAAAATCAGTAACTCTGGTAATCGTTTTACTTCTGCAAATATTGTTCCATTCAGCGTAATTTTTGTTACGTAATAAATTTAGTCTTTTGTTTTTGCTGTGTGTCATTGATGGACTTCCTTGTAATACATACCTGTTGCAATATGGACTGAATTTCCTTAGTGCATGTATTGCAACTAAGAACTCAAATAGCCACCTTGTTGGATGGTATCACTCAAGGTGTGTTTTAGTGTATTGACATTATCGTCAATATGTACTTTGTCCCCAGACTGTACAGCTATTTTTTATATATATAAAAACGAGCATTTTGTTGTCACGTGACCCTCATTGTTGGTACACAGGGACCATTCTTTAAGCAGGTAATTTATGTGAATACTTCAAGTGAGGAAGAATGTCACAATGCAAGGATTTGTGCAGGTGGGAAATGTTTTACGTGACTTTCACAAGTCTGTGAAACATGTAAAAGTAAAAACAGATCTAACATCCAAAAACAACGTTTTTACCATCGCTTGAGACTCCTTGCGGCTCTCGTGGATAAACAATTAAACATTAATATACTGTACACTTTTTTTAATTGGATACCTATCCAATTCGGACCATAATGTGCAGCGTACTAATTGGAAGTCCATCTGGTTGGTGCGACGGTAAGAAGTTCTTGCTTTACAATTGGAAGGTTTAGATTTCAAGTAATGATCAGGGAATGAGCCAGACCACATCACCTTATGGGGTGAATATAGAATGTGTACCACTTGGTGGAAAGCCAAACAGCGGGTTGTCCCATGGTGAAACTGGCCCTCGCCATAGAAACATCTCGTCGCTGTGACGAGATGTTAACGCCCTTGCCAGGTACGAAGGAGGTTGCGGGTTAATTTCTGAGCCCGATGCCTGTATATTTGGAGTTTGCATGTTCTCCCCGTAGTCAGGTAGATTTGTCTGCGGGTCGTCCGGTTTTTCCCTCCACATTTATAATCAACATGCATTTAGAGCATTAGCCTGCTATAAATTTCCACGTCATAAGCCACCTCATTGAGCTTCTATTTGGGGAAGGTCGCTTCTGAAAATGAGCTAGAAAGTTCAGTGGGCCTTACCTCATAAAATATAAAGTTTAATAGTACAGCATAAGAATTGATAATATACTACACTCTGAGATGCTGCTGTCATCCTCCCAGCCAAGATGGAGTGGCTACGTACACACACGGTAATGCCGTCAGGTGCCATGCACTGTTCTATGAGTGTGTGTTGTGGCGAGGTGTGTCAGGAGCCAGTGTAGTGGTTAGCTCACTACACTAGGAACCGGCAACCAGAGTTCAATTCACGCTTGCAGCCAACAAATGGTGTCAAATATCTGACCTGGACCTGGGCCTCCTTTACATTGACCTAGCTTTAAATGAGTACCTGGTGCTGTGTGTAAAAACATCACCAGTGGGGAGACAAAGGTGGCCAAGCATGATGTTAGCCGCAACACCACCTCGTATGCCCCGTGCCAGCCTTAAAAGATGCATGCTAGAGAAGCACTTGAACTAAACAGAATTATTTATAATTTTACCAGGTAAGGCCCACTGAGCTGTATAGCTCTTTTTCAGAAGCGACCCAGCCACACATGATAACTCAACGAAGTGGTTGATCACGTGGACATTTATGTATAAGCCAAACACTCCAAACGCACGTTTCAAAATGTGGAGGGAAAACTGGAGGGCTGGGAGAAAAATCCCCGCCACTAGGGGGGAAACATGTAAACTCCAAATATACAGGCGTTCATGTTGTTGTCGGGAAGCATGCGTGTTTGTGTAGTCACATGTTTAGGTGTGAAGGAGGGAGCATGTGTGTTTGTGTATATTTGTGTGTGTGTGTATAGTGAGAGGGGAGCGTGTGTGCGTTTTTTTTTGCGTGTCGTTGGTAGGTAGTGTGCGTGATGACTGGAGAACGTATGGATTTGTTAGACGGTGCACGTGTCAGGAATGGTGCGTCTCGTGTGCGAGGCCCTCTCCTCACCGTGCAGGGCGATGGCCTCTCGGAAGGGCTGCAGGTCGGTGTCGTCGGTGGGGCTGGGCTCCGTGGGGGCGACGCGGGGGGAGGCCGGGATGCCCGAGAGGCGCGCGGGGGCGCGGCAGCCGCCGCGGGACGGCGGAGGCGGCGGCGACTTCCCGCACAGGAAGCTAATGAGGTCCTCGCGCCGGATGGTGCGCCGCCGCTTCTTGGCCCAGGCGAGGACGTCGCGCGTCCGCCGCTGCAGCCCCATCTGCGCGCCGTGCTCGTAGCTCCTCCGGTGCGTCTCTGCGCCGTCTGTCGCGCGGCCGGGAGGGGAGGGAGGTGGTGGGAGGGGGGGGTTGGGAGAGCCGCGTGCACGCGGTGCGGGGGCCGCGCAAAAACGGAGATGGGCGCGAGTTTATACGATGTCCGCTCGACGCTCCGCACGCGACGGCGCTCTCGCGACGACGACCCCGAGAGGTTCCCACGCGGCGTGACGACGCGTGCAGCAGGCCCCCCCTGATGCGCCAACGCAAACCTTCCTTACGCTCGCAATCCAAACAGCAGTCGGAATGCCTAAGAATAAACTCACTAAATGCACTCACAGCATGCCTGAGAAGAGACATCGCTTGTAAGCTATCATTTTATTGATGTTAACTTTCAAAAAAGCAAATTAATAGCATTATTGCTAGGAGTTTATATATATATAATGCTGGATTCATAAGAAGCAATTATCATGTTTATCACAATTCACACGTGGATAAATGCAGGTAATAAACCGTTATCTATGCCAAATAATGTGCAAAAATTACCTTCGGGCCAATGCAATTTTGACGGAACAATCCAGAACACAGGGACAGACGACACAAAGGTGGCAACACAAACAAGCATCGATGTTTACATCGATGCACCACCGACACTCATCCAACCTCGTAGGATCAGCTGTTAGATGCCCAAGTAATACTACGCAGCGGGAAGCACGCGTACCCAAGCACTCAAAACATTCAAATGCTAATGCAAATTAATTTACATTTGAACACGTGTCAACACGAATGCTACATGATTGAATTTGCGTGCTAAGTGCCACCGTGAGATACAATCAATTGAATAGATTATCAGCCTCTTAGGCTTTGCACCAGCTTCGCAGTGCCAACTATTCAATTGCACAACGGTCTGGAACGTCTGTACCGAATTACCCAAGCATTCTGTCCGGCTAAAAATTGGGCATTGTTTTGAAGGGTATGCCAACTGAATGCTGGGGTAAGAAAAAAAAATACAAATGTATATTAATTTATTACCCTCAACTGAATGCTGGAAAATAAATTACTTTTCCTTTTTACTGTAAAATTCTAGGTCATTCCTGTATACACTACAAACGGATCGTTTAAGGGTAGATGGCTGCTATAAATTTCCACGTGATAAGCCACTTCGTTGAGCTATCATTTGTGGCCATGTCGCATCTGAAAAAGAGCTATTATAGCTCAGTGGTGCCTTACCTGGTAAAATAAAAATCAGTTCATAGTTTATTCATCTTAATAATCTCTTGTAAAAGACAGCGAAACACCCACGCATCACTGCTGGTATTGACGACTTCCGATAAACGATTTGGGCATGACAAAAACAGGGCATGCTGAAAATAACTTATTTGTTGCTTTTCAAAGGCAGAACTTTGCCACTTCGCGTTAACAGCATTCCAAGATGCGTTTCCTACTTTTCTCTTTATTCCCATGCACTGACGCTGAACAAAAGACCGTTCCCACGGATGATGCGGTTAGAAATTATGCAATCACGGAATGTCCCAGACAAACAAGGAATGCTGCTGGTCGCTTAAATCCCCTCCACCGTTGTCACTGGGCTAGGCGCAGAGAATCCAATAGCAGTGTGCGGGAGGTGAGCAAAGCGGTTTAAATGTACAAAGAGACACGCCGGACAAAGAAAAAGGTAGCCGTCCACGTCATTATGCACTGCATTGGTGGAGTGAGAGTAATATACGATCGTAAACGGATAAAGCTCTAATTGGTTTAACACATAGTAGTAGTAGTCTTTCTTGACCAATATTATCCATAATAAAGTTATGTTTGTCTTAGATCGCGTAAATATAAATGTGTCGTTAAACCCGCCACACCGCCGACACAGCCAATTCGTAAGGTGTTTCACGTAAACAAAACATGCCAATTAGTTACTCGTACAGCATACTGGTACGTTGGAGAGTAATTTGTTGTAGTGGATTTACTCTCCCACACACCGGTGTGCTGACGTTTTATTATGCACGGAGCTGCTTCACCCACCGAAAATAAAAACCACGTAGGACTTTTAAGCTGATTAAACTCGTCACAATATTACTTACCCATGTAAAACGGGTTTCAACTGAGAGTCATCGGGCAGGGTGTGACCGCTGAAATAAATGCTGCTTGTTTTCCTGACGTTACAGGCAAGAGCCCTGCATGGACACTGTGGGTCAATGGAGCACATTGCACAGCAACGTACGTGTAATTCAATCGAGCGAGCCCGATACTGTATTAGCACCAAATAACACAATTAACATTAAAGTCCATCTGGTTAATGGGGCCTTCCAGACCTATGTTTCCCATCGTCATCACGTGGACATGTTGCCATCTCTCCTGTCACAGGTGCAGCCAGGGAAAGAGAAAAGTCTGGGTGACTGTACGGGGCCACATTGTCTGTGCCAACTTTGCAATGGACACGGATTCAATCCAAATCGGTTCTGTACGCGAGCGATACATTAATCAAAGCACACGAGTAAGAGCCGATTGTGTACGGTGTACAGTGACTTTACCGAAAAAACCAAAGAGGGAAAAAAGTATTTGATCCCCTGCTGATTTTGTACGTTTGCCCACTGACAAAGAAATGATCAGTCTATAATTTTAATGGTAGGTTTATTTGAACAGTGAGAGACAGAATAACAACAACATCCAGAAAAACGCATGTCAAAAATGTTATAAATTGATTTGCATTTTAATGAGGGAAACAAGTAATTGACTCATCTGCAAAACATGACTTAATACTTGGTGGCAAAACCCTTGTTGGCAATCACAGAGGTCAGACGTTCCTTGTAGTTAGCCACCAGGTTTGCACACATCTCAGGAGGGATTTTGTCCCACTCCTCTTTGCAGATCTTCTCCAAGTCATTAAGGTTTCGAGGCTGACGTTTGGCAACTCGAACCTTCAGCTCCCTCCACAGATTTTCTATGGGATTAAGGTCTGGAGACTGGCTAGGCCACTCCAGGACCTTAATGTGCTTCTTCTTGAGCCACTCCTTTGTTGCCTTGGCCGTGTGTTTTGGGTCATTGTCATGCTGGAATACCCATCCACGACCCATTTTCAATGCCCTGGCTGAGGGAAGGAGGTTCTCACCCAAGATTTGAAGGTACATGGCCCCGTCCATCGTCCCTTTGATGCGGTGAAGTTGTCCTGTCCCCTTAGCAGAAAAACACCCCCAAAGCATAATGTTTCCACCTCCATGTTTGACGGTGGGGATGGTGTTCTTGGGGTCATAGGCAGCATTCCTCCTCCAAACACGGCGAGTTGAGTTGATGCCAAAGAGCTCCATTTTGGTCTCATCTGACCACAACACTTTCACCCAGTTGTCCTCTGAATCATTCAGATGTTCACTGGCTAACTTCAGACGGGCATGTATATGTGCTTTCTTGAGCAGGGGGACCTTGCGGGCACTGCAGGATTTCAGTCCTTCACGGCGTAGTGTGTTACCAATTGTTTTCTTGGTGACTATGGTCCCAGCTGCCTTGAGATCATTGACAAGATCCTCTCGTGTAGTTCTGGGCTGATTCCTCACCGTTCTCATGATCATTGCAACTCCACGAGGTGAGATCTTGCATGGAGCACCGGGCCGAGGGAGATTGACAGTTCTTTTGTGTTTCTTCCATTTGCGAATCGCACCAACTGTTGTCACCTTCTAACCAAGCTGCTTGGCAATGGTCTTGTAGCCCATTCCAGCCTTGTGTAGGTCTACAATATTGTCCCTGACATCCTTGGAGAGCTCTTTGGTCTAGGCCATGGTGGAGAGTTTGGAATATGATTGATTGATTGTTTCTGTGGACAGGTGTCTTTTATACAGGTAACAAGCTGAGATTAGGAGCACTCCCTTTAAGAGTGTGCTCCTAAATCTCAGCTCGTTACCTGTATAAAAGACACCTGGGAGCCAGAAATCTTTCTGATTGAGAGGGGGTCAAATACTTATTTCCCTCATTAAAATGCAAATCAATTTATAACATTTTTGGCATGTGTTTTTCTGTATTTTTTTGTTGTTATTCTGTCTCTCACTGTTCATATAAACCTACCATTAAAATTATAGACTGATCATTTTTTTGTCAGTGGGCAAACATACAAAATCAGCAGGTGATCAAATACTTTTTTCCCTCACTGTATACAACTGGGTCGTAAAAACCCTGCAGCAACATAGCAAAAAAAATATTCTTCAATCCATGGAGACTCCCGTTTGTTACGAGTCAATGAAATAGCGACCTGACAAGGTTAGTCTGAGTAATTCCTCGAAGGCAATACTGACCTATCAGCTCAGAAAATTGCAGATGTTCGCATTCCTCTAAAACCTTTATATTACAATTAATCAGGCAAGGGTAAATGTGTTGTTTACTGTGGCCATATCCACTGTGGAGCAAAATTTAGTTTTAAAATGAAAAATATTTCCAAATGATGATTGACGCACCATACGTCCGCACCACTTTTACGACTTCCCAATATCAGGCTCCCGTGGACATTACCAAGACATTGCCAGTAGGTCAAAGTTGGCTGAGACAGGGAGCGATGGGGGCCAAGTTATAAAATCGCATACGCAACGTAAACAAATCAAGACGAACCATCATCCGACACACACACAAAACGATGCACGTTATGTGTGCAATCATCAAAATTAATTGAATCCATGCAACAATGCATGCCTAACAACAACTTTGTGCATCCAGGGCAAAAGAAAACGCTCGTTTCAAAGTCGTTTCTCTCACCTAGTTTAATCATTCATTTACATTACAGTGTGTGTGTGTGGATACATGTTTACTGTGAGCTTTGAGTGTGATCAATGAGCACGGCAGTTAAATCAGCTCTCAGCAGCGCCGTGACTGGTACGCTGCCGTGACGACGCCGCTCACGCCGGGAGCCAGACTCGCTGCGTCAGTGGATATCAGCTGCAGCAGCATGCGCCGGGGCAGTTTAAACACGGTGGAGATGGCAGCACGTGAGAAACGTCAGGGGTGACTCAATAGCTTCCAGTCCACGGCAGGAGTCAAACAGCTGCTCTGCCGTGGAACTGTCTTGCTTTG